ACACTACTATATATATATATATATATATATATATATATATATATACGAATCAAATGATAATGCATAATTTGATTTTAATTTAAATATTTATCTAAATATGTAACTATACTACTATATATTAAAACTAAATATTTATCTAAATATGTCAATTTTTGAATTAATAAATCATGAATTAATTTTTAATCGATGTAATTAGAATTATTTCATGAGAACAAAAGATATGCTAAGAAAGATTTAATCCTCTGATAATTTTAATGACTCGATGTAATTGATAGTTTTATAAATTCTTCTTAATTATTATAGTTAATTAATTATAATTAAAAATTATTTTAATAATTGATATAAAATTTTGTATATAAAAATATTGATTACGAAGGTGATTAAAATATTAAACGATAAATAAAAGCAATAGAAAAATTATAATAAAAATAATAATAACAAAAATAATTTTTAATAGTTTTTAATAGTTACAATAACAGATTCTCAAAAATGTATTATATTCATATACAAATAATATTATATATTATATGTAAATATATGAATTTGTAAATTGACTTAACGAACAAAAAATGTGATGATTCATTTCTTGCTTGACCATGAAAATCGTTTCAAATTTTATGTGTAAATTATAGCTTTACGATTAATCAATTGTAATTGATCTTAGTAGTCTTATCTATTAATCAATGTCATTGATAATTTAAAACAATATGGAAAGAAGTTTGTTGAATTTTTTATAAACGAATAAGAATAATTTTAGATAGCAATTGAAATCATCACAAAATAAATCTGTATTAAAAATATATAAAAATAAAAACATTTTCTAAATCACAAAAAATATAACATTGTATCAGTTTATATTATTAGTATTGTAATTTAATACAAATAATAAAGATAAATAGTAATAATAACGTAAATGTACTCACATTTATTGACGCCAAATGTAATATCAGTGAATTGCATGCCTCGAAGGATATTATGAGCAATAGTAGTATTTGATGGTGCAAAGTCCGGGTCATCGATATCGAAGGACACGTTTTCTTCGAATTCTGTCATAGTACTCTCCATAGTCACCAAACAAAAAGTCAATTTGACACCAAATCTATAATAGAAAGGGAATTCAATCAAAACATTAACTATGTATAATTTGTATGATAAATAAATATTTTATTTAGAATGAAATAATGGTATATCAAATTCAATCAAGCAAATTTATTCAGAATAAGTTTTTAATTAAGTTTATCAAGTTTATCCCCACTCTTCGATAAATGACATTCGATGTTTTTATAAGATGTTTAAATAAAATTGCAAAATTTATTAATTTATGAAAATTTGTTTGAATTATCATATAAATGATAAAGTATTTTCTATATTCTAAATATGTTCTAAATTTCGAACTCTTATTTTTTGAAATATCTCACGCTCTAATGAATGTATATATACATATTATGCGTCAGACCATAGAGAAAGTCGATAGTTTTAAATTATTAACGATTATTCTTTTAATAAAATTAAATACCATTAAAACATCAATATTCTATATCATTCATAATATAAATCAATCAATTTAATTTGATCTATATTTATAACAGGAGAATTTGCAATGTATTGATCAATGGGGGGATTCTTATCGATTTTCATGATTTTTAGATATGTTGTAGAAAATAAGATTTTTAACAATTTTTTTCTTTGCATATTACTGCTGTTTGGTTTTAGTTTTTGAGATATTTGCAAAAAAAGATTGCTATTCTTACATATAATTTCTTTTATAAGTGACCACCACTGTGATCACCACTGTAAACATTATAACGGGCGACGTCCAAAAAGGATAGATCGCTAAGGGATAAATCTACTTACTCCTAGATTCAATATAATATATTGAACTAAAATATCTGAAATTCAATGTCGAATTTAACACATTTCACGGATTTCAAGAAAAAAAAATAAAATATAAAACAATTCTTTGGGCGATCGAATGTCCAAACTCGACATTGGATTTGAAATATTTTAAGCCCATTATAATCTACGAGCAAATAGATTTTTGATTAGTTCACCCGTTATAACGTCTTAGTTGCCTGCTGCCGTCATGTGTTTACATTTACAGAGGATCGCATGTTTACACACACGTAATCAAGGATATATACATATAAGAGAAATTCTATGTTATAATAGCAATCTTTTTTGCAAATATTTCTAAAACTAAGGCTGCAGTGGTATGCAAAAGAAAAAGTTGTTCAAAATATTTCTACAATACATCTAAAAATCATTGAAATCGGCGAAGATTCTCTATTTCAAATAATTATCTTTTTATCATATAACAATGAATTACCAAATATGATAAATGAGATTAAATTAATTTCTTCTTAATTGATATCAGTTTAAATATAGAACAATAAAAGTATGCTTGTAAGTAAACATATATACTCTTACAAATATTTATGATATAAACACAAAAATGTACAGACTGATTTATCGTTCACAAATATATATCTAATTGACATGTCTAACAGTAAAAAATAATCATAATTGATATAAATTAATTTATGTTTTTGAATATTAAAGTTTATGAATTTCAAAAATTTTGTGGAAGGAAAAAAAATAATAAATAGAAATATAAGGATAGAAAAAAGAATAAAAAAAAGCAGAAAAATTTAGGATAAAAAAAAAGTATCAAAGAGAGAGAAGAAGAAAAATAGAAAAACAATATGCATTCGGAATAATAATACACATATGTATATGTATATTTACAATGCACATTTATCCATATAAAAATTGTAATCAATAGTATTGATAGATTCGAAGATAAAATAAAAATATATAACAATCTACTTTTTATATTATAAATGTATATATATATATGTAACTAAATACATATATCAAAACTTTGTTAAGATTTTTTTTGTGAATAAATACTGTTTAAATTATTTTAATTATTAATTACAAATATTTATTTAAAAAATCAATGAAATTAAAGATAATGAATAAATCTTTATAAATAGATAAAAAATATTTTTTTAATATAAATTAATAAAAGTTTTATTTTATTATAAAACTTTATCAATTTAAAAATTGAAATCATAGATAATTAATTTATATTAATTTATAAAACTAATTTATAATTGATATATAAAACTATCTTAGTATAAAGGAAATTTATATGAGATTGAAATATATATGCGAAATATTTAATAAATTATATAATTTATATAAAATCTCGTAATATTAAAATATTTTATTTTAATTTTTTAAAAAATTAACCTGTTAATTTTTTTAAAGTTTCACTATTTATTGACACTAAATTTTTTAATATTTCCACAATAGATAAAACAATACCTCTTTATAATACGCACGTACCGATGGTTGATGGTCGACTGACAATTTACCTCACTATCGCGCGAAAAATTTGCCATATCACAAACGAGGTATAGAAAAGATGTAACATTCAATGCATTTTTTTATTCGATACAACAAGAATTACCTTATCATTTTAGTCTAATTCTTAATATCAATAATTCGATTTAAAATAGAATTGCAATTGTTAGTAGTTGGAAATGAAATTAAATCTCAATATAAAATTATGAAAAGTAAGACAAATATTCTGTTACACAATATCTTGCAGACACATATGAAGTATTACATTTTACAGATTCATTATGAAATCAAAAATATAATATCTATTATAATAATATTATTTTTTATATTAAAAATTAAAATTATAGTTTTGTAATAAAAATATGTTCATGAAACTATATTTATTAATATATTCTTTTTCAGGCACGTGTCAAGAGAAAATATAGAAGAAGCATAAACAGGAAAAGGATAGAATAAATTGAAATTTCGGCAATCAGCGCCATCTGTGATACCGCAAATGAAACAAATATAGAAGACACAAGAAGAGCAAATAATTGAACAAGGAATATAATAAGTATTGAATTAATCATCATTTTGAATATTTTTAAAAAGATAAATATTTAATAGTTTATGATAGATTTCACAACTTTATTAATAATTGATAACATTTTTAATATTTCTAAAAATAATTAGCTTATATGGATGATCTATTAAAATTTTATCTTAAACAAAATTTTAAAAAAATATTTTATTTAAATATATATTTATATTTATATTATAATATTATATATATAATATATATATAATTAATATTATATATATTACTTCGATACAAAATTTTAAAGAAATACTTTATTTATATATAATATATTTACATGCATATAAAATATTTTATATACATAATAATATACATAATATACATAATAAAATATTTTATATACATAAAAATATATTAAATATAAAACGAATTAATGATTTTGAAATTATAATTTAAAATAGATATATTATAGATAGTAATCAAATCAAAATTTAAAAAATAAAATAAGATAGATTCATTCTAAATTTTTTATTTTAAAATAACTACACATATATATCTATAATATATCTATAATAATATAGCAAAATCGTAAAATAATTCAATCATCAAAATTTATAAACAATACGAATGAATGAAAGAATGAACAATTAATAAAAACCTCAAAAAAATCTTGATCAATGTATTTTAATTTTATCATATTTAAAAAATTACAATAATTTGAATTTAATAATTCAATTTATAATTTTGCTATAATATTAATACTATTATTAAGAATTTACATAGTTTTAAAAATTAAAATTTTTATAATATAATAATTAAAAAATTACAATATTTCTATCTTCTATATTAATACTTAATCTTAAATTGTCAATAACATATATCAGGCTTAATTAGTAAAACAATATATAGCATGCATAGTTAGTAAAACAAAACATATGAAATATAATTATGAATAGCGAAATGATTACTTATAAAAAAATATATTATATGGTTTATTAATGGTGAAAAGATTCCTGTGTCATCTAAAATTTTTAAAGATATGAAAAGAACCATTTTTTTACGGTTCTTTTGAACAAAGAAAAAGGTATACAAATCATTTGACCCGCTAGTTGTCCAATCTCGATATATACTATGACAGATTTTAGATTCTTATTTTTTGTCAAATGTCATCTCATATTTCATTATTCATTATTCGCATATTATAACTTTATATTATATAAGATTTTCACATTTTTCATTAATACATACGTCCAAATCCTAAATAAAACGCGAAAAATTAATACAGTACTTTATATGCATCATTATAAATTCATAAACATACTAGGATTTGGAGGACGAAATCTACACATATCTGGAGCAATAAATCGTGGTGGAAATGGTGGTAATGGACCAATATGTCTAAATCCTGGTACTTGACCCCTCATTGGAACCCAAGATCTAACCATTATTGGCCTTGGTGGAAAAATCTAATAATGAAATTTAATATTGTTAAAAAATTTTCTTTCATAATTAAAACGTAAAGTAAATACTCACCCCATAATAAACAGGAACAGGAATTTGTTCGATATAATAATTAACATTATTATTATTATTATTACTATTACTATTATGATTATTATTATTATTATTATTATTATAACTCAATAAAGAATTCGATGAAATTATTGTACGTTCTCTAGATCTTTCTCGTTCTCTTCTATCTCGAGATCGTTCTCTCGATGTTTCTCGATATTCTCGATAAGGACTTTCATTTTTGTATGATCTGCAATAATATATAAATATTAAAAATCAATTTTTAACAAATACGATATATCACATATTTCGTTTCATACCTTTGCTCTCGTTCTCTCGAACGAGAATAACGCTTAAGACTTGTTTTTTCTCGTAAAAGTTTTTCTTTTACATTGTATAATTTTTCATATTGCTTATCCTTCTTTTTATATCCTCTATTTCTATCTCTACTGCAACTTTTTTCCCTGAATAATAAATTATATTAATAAATTTAATTATATAAATTAAATTATATAAAAAATTTTATATAAATTTTATATATATCAATTAATAAAATTTTTGGAATATTTAAAAAAGAATAAGAATTAATTGATAAAAATTCTAGTTTCTAGATACATTTAAATATATTGTAATATTATAATTATATAATAATATTATAATATTAAATTTAAAAGTTAATAATAGTGATATATAATGCTTAATTTATGCTTATTCTTCTTTACGCAATACTCTATATACGTAATATTAATTTTTTTTTTTACAATTCAATTGTAAATATATTATTTTATCTATTTCATCTTTTTATCTTACTATTTAATTAAGAAAATATTACATAAGGATATCAAATATTGAGTAAATACTTTTTCGTTTTATTAGCGATTTTTTCGCATATGAACGATATTTATATAAACAAACATTAATTTAAAAATTTTTTTTAATTTTAAAATTAAATTAATATTACTTACCTTCTTTCTAGTAATTTTTATTAATCATTATTATTAACATTATATCACCTGAATAAAAAACATATCTAAAAATTTTATATTATATGCCAGTATCAAATAAAAAAAAAATGCTAATAATAAATTCTATTAATTATCAATAAAATGATAAAAAGTTTATATCAATTCTTATTTAATTAAAAAATATTGAAAGTATGAAAGATTTTATAAATCTATTATATGGTTTATTATGGTTATTTTAATGTTTAGAATAAATATTATATAATGTTATTTTTATCAAAAATATATGTAAAATATTATTATAAGCATAACAGTTATAATATAGAATATCATGACCAAAATAAACCATGGCACAGAAGATGACAATATCGTCATCGAAATTAGATATACCGATAAAGCAATATCGGTCACGGAACAAACGTATTGTCCTCTGTGTTTCTAAAAATTATTGTATTTTAAAAAATTAATAGAATAACCATTGAAAAAATAAATTCAAATTGATAATAAATTGTATGTATAAATAAAATTACTATGAAGAAGAAACGAGCGATAATGGATGCAATATTGGTGTCAGAAACGGTATATTGAAGAATTCTTTAGAAAGAAAAAGGAATGTTCATTGACATGAAATTCCTTAGAAAAAGGCTCTCTTCTCGTAGAGTTGATGTTTGATTTTTATCATTGAGAAACAATTCACAGAACATCATCATCTTTGAAATAATCGGAAGAGGAATATTTGCCAGTGCTTCAAAAAAAAAAGCAGCGATAGAGGAAGTGGAAACTCAATAATGTGCAATAATAGATGAAAGAATCGCTCGTTTCGAAGGGCAACATCACTGTCTTCTATTATTACTAGTACACCTTTGGACAAAAAGATAGCAAACATCTATCATTAAATTTTCATGGATAGAGTCGGAAAGTCCTACTCCTAAGTCTGGTGAATAGTATGTAAACAGTATCTTGTAGTAATAAAATAAATGATCTTAAAACTGTATTCGTCCCCGCTATTCGTCCTGTATTTACCAACAATAATCGTGAAATCCGGTCGGCGAAATGATATCACACCGAGCTTTCCTTTTCCACTTCTTAGTCTTTCTGTTTATTTCGAGTGGTATGAACGTAATATTAATCTGCCAAATATTCATTCAAACAATGGGGCGTGGAAAGTAGCTGAATAAAGCAGAAATTAAAACAATTTTGAAATTAAAATAAGAAAATTTTACAATTTCGAAAATTTCCAAGACTTGTCGACAGAAGTCGAAAAGTTATTTATAATTTATTAAAAGACGTCGACAATTACGGAACAAAAAAAAGTAGTGTCATCGCAATTACTGCATTATATGTGCCGTGTCAAATTCTCACGTCACGTGAAATTGCAGAAAAATCTGAAGTAAAAACGAAGCCCAGAAATGTTAGACGTGTTTTACAAACATGTCCTCATATAAAACATATGAAATTAAAAAAGAGACCAGGCCTAAAAAAGATTCACAAGGAGTATCGTCTAGATTTTGCAAAAGAGTACATGGAACAAGAAATGGAGAAAAGTAATATTTTCTGACGAAAAACGATTTAATTTAAATGGTCCAGATGGATTCAACTATTAGCCAGAATTGGCTATAACAGAAAAACAGATTTACTATCAATCAGCAGCAAAATGAATGCCACCATTTATGGTAATTTGTTACAAAAACAAATAACTAAGTATGCGAAAAATATTGCGGCTGATAATTTTATATTTCAACAAGATAACGTTGCTGTTACTGCCAAAATTGTAAAAGAATATTTTGCTAGAGAAAATATTACAGTTTTAAACTGGTCAGCGTATTCCTCTGATTTGAATATTATTGAGAATTGTTGGGAAAAATTATCTGAAGCAGTTTAGAGAAAATAGACAATTTCAAAACATTCAAGAATTAAAAAAGTGCCTTGAAAAAGAGTGGAACAATTTATCGCAAAATTACTCAGAGGACTTTTTCATTCGTTACCAAAACGGATGCTGGAGGTGGTAGAGAACAAAGGCGGATCGACCCATTATTAAATAATAAAATGTTTTTTTATGTTTGTTCCACGTAATAGATAATAAATATTACAATTTTGAAAGTGTGCTATCACTTCGCCAACCCAATTTAATATATTTCGTTAATAAATATGAAAACCAACAATCAAAATTCTTTTTCGTTTATAAATCCTTTATATTACTTCTTACTGTTTATATGCCATTCGCCAGAGTTAGCAATTTCTGACTCTATCCATGAAAACTTAATGATAGCACACGTGTGCTATGTTTTTGTCCAAGGATGTAATTCTAGAATATTTCAACAGAAAACAGACAAGATAGATGCTGATTTTGTAAATAATTCGAATATTGTAAATATTGAAAATTATGCGACTGTATCTGGACAGACAATCATTCTTGTTAATACTCTATTTTCGAATATATTTCGAATATTTATTATATATATGAATATTATATATATTTGAATATATGAAAAAGTTTCTATGTTTTGATGAATTTTCATCTTGAGAAGAAATCAAACTACAATTATAAAAGATGATGATTCGGTGAAGAAGTGTGCTGAAACAAGATTCATTTTAAGAGGAAGATAAAAGTCTTCTAATATAAAAGGAATTCCTTTGGTGAATCAGAAGATAAATTTACTCGTTGAAATTTAGAATCCCGGAAAAATATAAGAATAAGAAATCTAAGAAAGAAAAATTCGACGCAGAAGATGCAAGTAGAAAACATTCAGTGAATCCAAAGAAAAATAATAATATTCAAATTAGCGTCTTACTTAGGATTTTTCCGTGAGACGAAAGACAAAGCATGTCGAAGCATTTATTATCTGAAGAAAATCACACAAGTAATAAAAATTTATAGATCTCTTTTTCAAATAGAAAAATATGTAGCATTAAGTAGAAGTTAAATGAAGTTACCGCGAGATGCCCGCCTTTTTTTTGAAGAGGAAGATAATGTTGGTACAGAAGATGACAAAAATATTCTTGTTTAATTCTGCCATATTTCTTGTGGAGCATTAGCAAAGCTGAAACAAAGAAGACTATAGTAATGCAAAACACAAAATAAAACTTAAAATGCACAATTGCACATTATACTTGGGATAATTATAAATATAGATTAAAATTAATAAAATAATACATAGAATGTACCAACATTTTTGAGACATTCACAAATTGGAGATTTTTGATAATTGGATAATTTTAAAATGTTGGTTTTTTCAAAATTATTTCAGGAATCTCCAATTTATAATGATGTCCCAATATTTTTGACACTTTATACAATTATCTATATATTTAAAGAATATATTCAAAAGCGAATTTGATCACAATCAATTTGAAAATATTACTTTTGAATATATTTCATAAATTTTATATCATTCTGTAATTAAAACTTTAAAATATTCATGAATTCATGAATATGTGTGTGTGTGTGTGTGTATCGATTGTTTTACGCCAATCCTGTTTTAAAGAATAACAATATCTAATTTTTCAGAAAATTTCCGAAAAATTTTCTACATGGGAAAAATTCGAAAAATTTTCTCTTGATCTTTTTCCGGTTAATTATATCCTTATTAAATTTAGATCAATTTATATTTCAATTTTCAAAAAATAAAACAATTGTAATACGCAATTGTTGTGTAATGGTAATAAACCATCAATATTATTGCCATTACACAAACAAACCTGGAATAACGAGACGATGTATGTTGAAAATTATGACTTCGACTTCTGATAGAATTTGATGAAACAGCATATTTTTTGCATGTTTTAATTTCATTTTCTAAAAATAAAATTATATGTAATTTTAAGTTATAATGATAAAAAGTTTATTATTTTTAATTAAAGAACATACCTGATTTTTCAATATTTACAGCTAAAACTGTACGATGTTCTGTAATTTCATTTGTTTTTGTTAATACATTTTTTATTTCTTCTCTTTCAAATATAGGCTTAGATCCTTCTCCTATAATTAAATTTTTGGATAAAATTTTTTAGAAATAAAATAATAAAATCATAAAATACAGCTATATAATAGATAATTGTAACAGATCTTAAAATATTTAAATTGATATATAAATTGACTATTTCTTAACAATTGTAAACCAGATTTTTTAATAATAAAATATATACACAAATAATATACATGAAACTATATAAATAAACTAGCTACAAAATATGAAAAAGATAATAATTATTTTTTATATTATTTATATTACTATTTTTATATAATAAATAATATAAAAATATAAACATATGTATGTACATATATGAATCATAACTAATCAAATTTTCACTGCTTCGTACCATATTTTGAAAAAAATAGATTGATTTATAATTTATTTAATCTTCATTAATAAAAATCTCTTTTTCAAATTTGCAGCTGAAAATATATGATTTATAATTTTTTTGAATATTAGATATTATAAAATGATAATTTAATGAATGATGATGAAAAATTTATAATAAATATAAATTTATGAAAATATATATCTTTTACTTTATATTATCTTTTTCTTTCTTGACTTTATAGAATTGTTTTTTTATTAAACTTAATTAAAAAGTAATAAATATATAAATATATTATAAACTTAATTAAAAAGTAATAAATTTAAAAATTATATAGAATGAATCCATATGTAATAATATTAAATTGTAATTTTAAAATCATATCTTCCAGGATGATTAAAATCTTCCACTTGATGAATTATATCATATTAATTATTACATTATATCATAAATATAATGTATGATATAATGTATATATATATACAAGTTATGCACAAATTTTATTTTTTTGAATTCTTTAAATTTTTCTTAATTAAGAATTAAAAGTTGTAATTGACAAATTTTTACAATTAAAAAAAATGAAAAAAAAATTATTATTTTAAAATTTAAGACATGAATGTTTCTATTACTTAAATATTTTCATTAATTATTATTTTAATTGTATTATTTTCATGATTATTATAGTATCGTACTAATTCTAATATCACATCAATCTTTAATGTTGAATTCATATATATTTCAAATATTATGAGTTCTTGTTGAAAAAGTTTCATCTTCCTCTAATGGAATAATAATCTTTATTATATTAATATTGTGTATAATATTATATATTATTATATAATATTATATTATAATATATATAATATTGTATTATATTAATATTGTATAATATTGTATAATTTATACATAACTTTGCTATTTCTTTATCAATACTAATCTCACATTTTATTAAACATTTATTTTAAAAAATAATAAATTTCTACACAAAAAAGTTATATGAAAAAATCCATATATAATAAAATTGTAATTTTAAAATCATATCTTCCAGGATGATTAAAATCTTCCACTTGATGAATTATATCATAATTATTATTATATTATATCATAAATATATTTAACTAATAACAGAAATATGTATAAGTTATACACAAATTTTATTTTTTAAATTTTTCTTAATTCAGAACTGTTTAAATATATATTGTTTAAATATAATTGACAAATTTTTACAATTAAAAAAAAATGAAAAAAAAACTATTATTTTAAAATTTAAGACATAAATGTTTCTATTATTTAAATATTTTCATTTCAATATCATATTAGTAATTCTGATATCAATCTTCAAGATGTTTTAATCTTCAATATTTATTCTTCAGTTGTAGAACTATTAGCATTAATATCAAACTTTACATGTTTGATTCCAAAATAATAAAACTAATTTTTCTTTTTCTAACAATTAAGTTCTAATAAAAAATTGAATTTATAAAGAATCATTTTAGAACAGAAATTCAGATTTAGTAAAATAATTCTTTCTATTTTTAAGAATAAAAATATTCCAAAAGCCAAGCTAAATCAATAAAGAGAATGCACAAAACAAAATAAAAATTTAAAGTATATTTTAAAAAAAATGGTTAAAAACAATATATTAAAAACATAACATCATTTTTGTGTTGTTAACATAATATAAAAGCATAATTTTTTTTATGCAAAGTCATATGCAATTTGCAAAAAAAATTTCAAAAGAATAAATAAAAACACTCTTAGAACACTTAAAATAAAAAATATTGTGCTTACATATTGCACATTATATTTTCAATACTCTGATCTAACATAGTATTCCAAATTTTCTTCTTTGATAAATTAAAAATATTAACTTCATAAAATATTTTTATATTTGAGTAAATTGTTGAATATTATAAAAGATATATGACATATAAATCCATCTTCTTATCTGTAGAAATTTATAAACAATGTTACGAATCTTCATGATGTTACATTTAATAAAATGAAATTTTTATTATTCAAAATTAATATTTAATCACAAAAAAAAATAATGTGTTCAAAATGTTCAAATATGTAAAAGTGTTCAAATATAAATTCAATAATTATATTTTTTGAAAAATTAAAGTTATTTTCTATACTGAGTTCATATAATTTATATTATAAATAATAAATAAATAAAAATAAAATTATATTATAAATAATAATAAAAGTTAAAAAAGTTTAATCTTCCACTGATGGAATGATCAATTTTTCGCATTGAATTTATACATACCTTTGCTATTTCTTTATCAATGATGATAATTTTTAAATTGGTAATAATGGAACAAAAAAAACATTTTACCCGTTCTTCTTTTGATTATCACATTTTCAGGATTGATAATATCTCGTTTAAGTTCATCAGTTGTTGTTGTTGTTTTTCCTGGCAAAATTCTGTGAATATCTACCTTAATTTTTCGTAGTTCTGTTTCACTAACTTGAGTACCTTCTGGTCCTCTAAATAAAGATGTACCATCAGAAGATTTTAATCTATAGTACAAAATAATTTTTTATTTAAAAAAAGGAATTATTATATGACTCTAATAAACTTCATGTTAAAATTATAAATTAAATTTTCTCGAATATTATATATAAAAATAATATATTATATAGTGAAAATTTTACACTACATTATTATATGTACTTATTTATCAATAAACAATCAAATTATATTGCATATCTAATATAAAAAAATTTTCATATTCAAATATATTTTCTTTTAAACTATATTTTTATTTACATTTAAAACAATTTTATATAAATAACTAAACTAAAAATTATTTAAATTATTCATACATACTTTTCGGATAATATAAATGTTTCAGATATATTTGGTGCATTACTTTTATTTCGGCTTTCTGGGGATCTACTTTTAGTTTTACTTCTTTTTGATAATGCTAGTTTCTTCTCACGAGCACGTTCATATTCTAAAATCATCTTTTTCTTCAATCTTTCGTGTTCTCGTTCTAGTTCTTGTTGTATCATCCATTCTTCGCGTCTCCGTCGTAATCGTTCTTCTGTTCTTGAACGCAGACCAATTTCGCTATCTTCACTGCGTGATTGTCTAAATCTCTCATCGCAATGCGAATAACTTGATGTATTTCGTTTCATTTTTATAATAAATACTAAAGAAATATATGTATACTTATGAAATTTAATCTGCAAATCCTTTTTTAAGTACAAAAAGATTTAAATATGTACATTATATCAAACCATGTATAAGAAAATATCTTATTATTATAATAAATAAAAGAACAAACATTAAAATATTATGAAACAAAATTATAAAAACTCTTTAAACTTTCACAATATACTTAAACTTACCTATAAATCACCTATATGCTTAGAGAAGCCGTTAGTGGAATACTTTGAGAATGCTATATTTATATTGCTAACTTCATAGTGCGATTGGTTTAAATTGAAGTTAGTAGGGATTCCAATTCGGGAAACCAATTCGGAAATTAAATTATGAATAAAATACAGAATTTGCGGGATACTTCTAAATGATGTTTTTTTTTTTATATAATAAATTATGATTTGTAATGAAGAAAGTTTAAGGATCATTTGAAGATAATGATAATGTAAATCTATTCAAACATTCATATGAGACAAGATTGCTCTTAAATTATATTGAATGTAAAATAAGATTAATAGTTTACATTTTTGCTATACCAATTGCTTATTTTTATGAAAATGGATTGAATTTATTTTTATTCGGAAATTAAACAGAAAAAAATGATTTTGAAATTTTTAATGATATTACTCCTTGGAGATTTGCAATATCTTGTTAAGAAAAATTGTTAAAAACAAAAAGAAATCTTTTTTCAAAATTAAATACATATTTTTATAATGTTTTCAAAATAGAATTGAAAAATTGGAAAAAGACTTCCAGTTGCATGGTTGTAGTTGCAGATATGTTTTAATGAGTTAAAACTGCAATAAAAAAGATAATAGCATTAATAAATATTACGAATAATCAAAGATATTTTTTATATGCACTTAATATTTTATATTGTTATTATTAATCGATCTAAATTGTATTCGTTAAAAAATTCCCTTAGTATCAGAGGAAATTATATTACATAGAAAAGAATCTAAACTTACTATTGAAGAAGTGCTTACAAAAATCCTTAAAAGACTTTACCAAGAATTTATTTTATTGTTTATCTATACTAATTCAAGATCTAAGTTACCATAAGAGTTTAAAAAAATCAGAATAATTAAATTTACCTTAAAAAAAAATCTTAAAAACCTTAAAGAAAATTGATGTACATGTAAACAGTTTAATTATAAAAAAAAACTAATAATGATTTTTTATGCGCTATAAAATCGATTTAGCAATCTATATTGAAATTTGCAATAATATTTATTATATTTATATATATATATTATATTTCTATCTTATTTTTATTATTCTATCTTATTTATATTTATTATATATATTATATTTCTACAACAAAAATTCTACTATATCAAGATCAAATTACATGCAAAAACACGTTAAAAAAAATATTTTCCATTCTCTAGAAATTATTATTAATTATTTCCAGAATTTTTATATAACAAATTCAATTTTTAATTTAGTATTCTTAATTTTTTGAAAAATTAAATTAAAATTAATCGGTTAATCCTCGCTCTAAGAAATTTCTGCAATAACTACTTTAAATTCGTTGGATAAAAATTGCATACTTACATATTTCTACGAGACTTTTATCAGTGTAAATGTCAATTTAAAAAAAAAAAACAAAAGGAAACAAAAAATGATCATAAAAATCATTTCAAATTTTATATGTAAATTATAGCTTTACAGTTAATCAATAAAATAACATGGAAAGAAATTTGTTGAAATAAAGATTAACAATTTTTATAAACAAATAAGAATAATTTTAAATAAAAGCAATTGAAATCAAAATCATCACAAAGTAAATCTGTATTAAAAATATATAAGAACATTTTTTAAATCGCAAAAAATATAACATTGTATCACTTTATTATATTATGTATTGTAATCTAATACAAATAAATATCAATAGTACCGTGAATATATTCACAATTACTGCGCCAATAATATTAATGAATTGCACGTATCGAAAGATATTATCAGCAATGATAGTATTCGATGATGCAAAATTTGAATTATCGATATCAAAGAACACATTTTCTTCAAATTCTGTCAGTACTTTCCATAATTACCAAACAAAAAGTTTGATAGATTTGAAATTCGCAGAAAAAAAAATATAAACAATTCTTTGGCTGATGGAATGTTCAAACTCGGCATTGAATTTGATTAATTCACGCATTATAACATCTTAATTGTCTGCTACTATCATATTATTAGTAATTGATATAGTTCACAGAAATTTCCAATAATAACTTATATCAATGATTTAATAAAAATTTTTTTTTAACACAAAAAATTTTAGAGAAATATTTTATTTAAATACAATATATTTATATAATAATAATAAATATATTGAATACACATGCATATATTTATATGAAAAGATTATTTTTTATTTTACTATAAATATAATATAAAGCTAATAAAAATATTTAGATTAAACATTTTTAATCAAATTTTATATAAAAATATATTAAACATATAGCATAAGTATGTTAATTATCATAATAATCATTTAATGATCACAAATTCATAATTTTGGAAATTATAATTTAAAATATATATATATATCTATAAAATATCTATAAAATAGATATATATTATGGATAGAAATCAAAATTTAAAAAATAAACTAAAATAGATTCAAAGTTGTACTTAAAAGTGTGTTCTATGATATAGCAAAATCGTAAAATAATTTAATTATTAAAATTTATAAGGATATATAAATAATCAAAAGAATGAATTGTTAGCATGTCAAAAAAAGAATATGAAATCTTGATCAATGTATTTTAATGCAATTTTAATGCAATTTAATACTTTAATGATTTTGCTATATCAATGAATAATATATATATATATTATTTATAAGAATTTACATAGTTTTCAAAATTAAAATTCTTATAATATAACAATTAAAAAAATTACAATGTTTCTATATCTTATACATTGATTACCTTAAATTGTGAATAACATATACAGCCAACTTTTAATATATACTCCATTAACTTTTTTCTTTCTGTGAGCTCTCTGATTCTCGATTAAATAGTTCGTCTCGTTTTTTTCGAGGAACTGTATGACTTTTAGTCTTAATTAATTGATTCTTTCAGCATGAATATATTAATCATTATTACATATGTAAAACAAAATGAAATATGATTATGAAAAACGAAATGATTAAAAAAGTATATTATGTAATCTATTAATGGAAGAAGGATTATTGAGTCAGAAGACGAAATTCTTTAGAGATATGAAAGGAACATTTTTTTATGGTTTTTTTGAACAACGAAAAACAGTTGATTCATAAGCTAGTTGTCCAATCTTGACATATATCATGATAGATTTTAACATTTTTATTTTTTGTCAAATGTCATCTCATTATTCAATATTATTCAATTCATTATTCATTATTTGCATATTATAACTTTCTATTATATAAGATTTCCACATTTTTCATTAATACATAGGTCCAAATCCTAAATAAAACACGAAAAATTAATACAACATTTATATATATCACTATAGATTTATAAACATACTAGGATTTGGAGGTGGACGAAGTCTATACATATCTGGAGGTATAAATCGTGGTGGAAATGGTGTTAATGGACCAATATGCCTAGATCCTGGTACTTGACCCCGCATTGGAACCCAAGGTCTAACCATTATTGGCCTTGGTGGAAAATTCTAATAAAATTCATTATTGTTAAGAAATTTTCCATCATAATTAAAGGGAAGTAAAATAAATATTCACCCCATAATAAACAGGAACAGGAATTTGTTCGATATAGTGAGATGGAATTATTCTACGTTCTCTAGATCTTTCTCGTTCTCTTCTATCTCGAGATCGTTCTCTCGATGTTTCTCGATATTCTCGATATTCTCTTTCATTTTTATATGATCTGTAATAAAATATTATAATTAAAATTCAATTTAGGCCTTGCCTTACGATTTCCAATAGCTCCATAAACAATAAGAATGTTGGTCTCAAGCCATTTCACGTTTTGATTGTGCATTCAAAGTTGTTCAAATCACATCATGTCTATGAAAATCTATATATAAAGTACAACTAATTTTATTTTACAAAGTGTTTAATAAATAATTATTATCAAATTATCATTGAACAAGAAAGATTTATTATCTTGAAATGAATAATAAATCGTAAAATAACATTTTTATTACAATTTTTAAATAAACATATATTTTAAATTATTATTAGCCCGATCATACTAGGTCTCTCACATGAATTGTTTAGGTTTGATCCGATCATCATACCACGTCTCTCACATGATATTGTAAGTTAAGTACGATATTTTTAAATACAAAATATTATATATTTCATGTATTTCGTTACATACTTTTGTTCTCGTTCTCTTGAACGTGAATAACGTCTACGACTTGTTCTTTCTCGTAAATGCTTTTCTTCTACATTGTGCAATGGTTCATATCGTCTGTTTTTTTTGTACTCTCTACTTCTATCTCTACTGCAACTTCTTTCCCTAAACAATAATAAATTATTTAATGATTTAATAAAATTAAAAAATAAATATATAAAATTATAAGCTATTATGTTACCTATCATTTCTATAACTATTTCTGTCGTCATGTCTTGAATCCTCGTATCTAATAAAAGAATAAGAATTAATTTATGAATTTCTAGATTTCTACATTTTTACATTTAATTAATATTGTTAAATTTAAAAATTATTAATAATAATATAATACTTATAATCCTTATTATTTATTACAGAAAGTATGTTTTATTATACATATCTCAATATTATATTGCATAAATTTTTTTCTAGTATTGATTAGATATATATAAATGTCTATATAAAAATAAATTAGATTTAATCTCTCATTTATTAATTCTTATTGAAAAATTAAATATTTTATTTTTTTTTAAAACATTCATTTTATCATTTTACATTTTTATTTCAAATTTGAATATGTTAAATATATTTGAGAAATATATGAGAAAATGAAAAAAGAATGATTGTATAAAAAAAAATGCATATATAAGTACAATAATTAAACTTATATAAAGTTATTTTTAAATAAAAAGAATTAGATAATTAATAAAATTGGTATTAAAAATTTTATTTTTATTATACAAAGTATTCAATAAAACATATAATAAATAAAAAAAAAGTCTATGTATAATTTCTTATCATATCAAATGAAATGACAAAAATAAAACATATCTCTATTTGTTTCGCTTGTGCATGTATTTTAAAAATATCAAAGTATCAAAGATTTTATAAATCTATATTTTA